AACCCCCTCTTGCCCTATGGCGAGAGGCAAAAGAAGCTTTGCTGAAATGCTGTCCCACCAATCAGATGGGTTCTGGGGCTTGGTGAGGACGTCTCCCTTTTGGAGCGCTCCCGGTATCCAAGCGATTGGCAAACTGTCGTTCCACTTTTCGGAGCGTAGCCCCTGTCGCAGAGCGGCTAGGTCCACAGCTAGCCTTTTATCGCTAGGCACCCTCGGGATGCCCTGCTTGTTCAAATGGTCGTATAACGACCTGCAGTCGCTCAGGCAAAGGATGGGCAGCTCAGCAGCGTCCACGGCCGTCATGACCCCCTTTAGCAAGGTCTCGTACATAGACCTCACATATGGGCCCGTCTCGAGTCCTTCAGCGCACGCTTGGGTCTCTGCGCCGAAAGTGCTCCTGCAAACCCTTTGTCCCGCTCGAGACTTCCAGTCCGCCACATTGGCGTTCCCAGCCTGTCCGGCGAGGGCTGCCCTGTCGGCAAACATCACCAGGATCCCGAGTTGTGAAGCGACCTTGGAGTTGCCTTTCTTGGCCTTCCTTATGCAGCCATTCGCATACGGCCCCTCGGTCTGGAGGCCGTCGATGTTCTCCTGCTGAGTGAGCACGTAGTAGTCCTCCTCGGGGTCTGCCTCCGGGACGTTCGCCCAAGCCGCATCATGGAAGACGAGGATCATCAGGTTCCCTTTTGGGATCGGCTTGAACTCAAGTCCTCGCTCGCGGTACTGGTAGGCCTTCGTCGCGATGGCGTTGGTGAACTTAATGTCTCCATAGGTGGGGGCCTTCTGCAACTGCTACGCCATACTGACGGAACATGTCAAGTCAGGGCGAGTCTGGGCACTCATCCAAGACAAAGCACCGATCAGGCTGCGGTTGTCGCTAGATAGCTCTTGCGGGGCGACCTCGCTGTCGTCGATGCCGGCGGGGACCTCGATGGTAAAGAGGCGGGTCTCCGCGTACTTCTCCTGGGACATCTTGATGTGGTCGACGGCGACCACAATCCTTGAACCCAGGAACTCGAAGTCGTCGGCCTCCCAGGTCTGTATCTCGAACTTTCCGGCGAGGGCCTGCTGGATGATGTGCTGGAGCTTCCTTGGCCCGGCGATCAGCAGGTCGTCCACGTGACATCCCAAGTAGGCAACAGGGGTGCCGTAGAAATTTTCTCCGTCCCATTTACGCAAAGCAAAGACACACGGGTCCATGGCGGAGGGCTCGAAGCGGTAGACGTCGGTGTCCTCGGGAATCTTAATCTCGACCTCGTTGATCCCACTCTGTAGATCCTGCCACCATGTATGGGGACTGGTGGCCAGGCCGAAGACATTCTTCTTGATTCTCACCAACTGTCCCGGAAGCAATCCGGGAAACCCGGTCTTCGGCTGATGCATGTAGAGCTCCCGGGAGAGATAGCTTCCGGTGAGGAACGCGCATCTTATGTCGCCTGCAGCCAATGTCCAGGGGTCTTCTTCCAGGAGACCGTCTGCAGTTCTCTGGAGCATACAGGCAAGTCCGCTCCTGGACAATGTAGGGGCGTCCGTGCTCAGCCTGAGGTTCTCGTCGGTGAGGTCTGGGTCGGTGTGCCCGGCAATCACAAGCCGGGATTTACACTTCCAGGGTACATCTTCGCCTTCACGTCTGCGGGCCCAGTTTTTGTCCTTGTAGGCCCACCTGCTCCTCAGTATTCGCTCGGCTGGGACTTCCCGCCGGACTCGGTCGCTTTCAGCGACCGACAATGGTTGTAGAGCGTCGAATGACAGATGCTCATTCCACTGGGTCGCTTCCGCTTCACGAAACTTCTCGTGGACCTCGGCCGGAATCTCCGACCACTTGAGCTCCTTCTCCTTGCGCTTCTCGAGGCCACGAGTAGTTAAGTGGGTCTTGAGCATCATTGCCTCGTGGCGGTCCGGGTTGAGCTCGGCCGCGGTAGTTTTCCTCTTCAACCTTCGTTTTGGGGCTGGCGTGGCGTCTTGTTCACGTAGGGGTTCCAGCTCCAGGTCCTCTTCTATCTCCAGGTCGTCAGCAGGTTGATCAACTTCGTCACCGGCCCAGCTCATTTCCTCGTCGATGTCGCGCATGAGCTCCTCCAAGTCCTCCTCGAACGCCTCGTCGCCGTCGGGGTCGTGGTTAAGAAGCATTTCTGCTTCTTTCTGAGTCCCCTTCATCGCCAGCAAAGCTCCCACTTCTTCTCCTGTAGTAGGACGAAGGTGTTCCGCTGATGTAAGCCGGCACCGCCCGCCTTTAGATATCCAGTAGTTGCCACCTTCCTTGCCGACGATGACTGCAGGGCCACTCCAGCATCCCTGCCGCCTGTTCTTTGGCTTGTGCCAGAAGTGCACGCTCTCACCGACATCAAGAGGACGGGCCGCGACACGGATCCTTTGTAGGAGTGCCTTGCGCAATCGGCCGTCGGTCTGGCTTTCGTGGAAAGCAACGCGGGCGGCTGCTCTCATGGCCGACTGCCTCTGGTACTTGGCATCCTCGCTGATGTCCCACATAACATGTGCACCACCATCAGGGTCCTGGAGGTCTTCGGGGACCCTCGGGGCCTTTCCAACCGCCACATTCACTTCGTCTTCGCCGATGGAAAGCTGGTAGCTGATTTTCTGCCAGATGTGCTTCCACCAGGCCTGTTGCCGTTCAACAACTCCGGCTTGCCAGTGGCTTTGGGTCGCTACGCTCCGAACTCCGATTCCGTGCCAGTCGCGCACACGCCCTAGGGCCGATTCTAGGCCGCCCTCCAGATCGATGACCACGGCTTTCGGGGGCCCGAACGGAACGAGCCACATCTCATTGAACTTCGCCTCGATGTCCTCGCCGGACTGGCCGTCGAGCTTTACCACGGTATGGTAGGTGGTGCCGTAATCGACCACGGAGAGGAACGCGTGCTTGACGTCATCCGTGTCGTGGCAGAAGAACAGGTCGAGGCCCAGCGTGTCGTTGAAGTCGGCCATGGGTGGTATGGTGCTCGGCCGTGCTATCTTCGGGGCCGTGTTGGCTTCACAGACCTGGCACCGCATTGACCGAGCTGCCTTCAGGATGGACTGGTCACAGCCCGCCAGGCGTAGGTGGCGGATGAGATCCTTTTGTCGGGGATGACCCAGGTTCTGGTGAAGACGACGGAGAGCTGTGGCCACCGGTCTCGGTGTGTCTTTGCCAAAGGATATTCCCGTCGCTCCCATAGCCAGGGCTTCGTTGTCTTGTCCCGGTTCTTCGGACGAGACCACTTTCACTTCGTGAACTCGCCCGGGACCTTCGACACGTTGAGTGGTCTCCTTGCCCTTAAAGAAGACCATGAAGACCTTGACCCCATCCTCGTTGCCATGTTGCTTGCAATCTCGCAAGCTAGGGTCTTTGTTGATGTGCTCGAAGAGGGTGTCGCCAGCCCCGCCGCTGAGCACCACGGTCCCTCCATCGTTCACCTGTTGCTTCATCAGCTCGAGGAGGGCTTCGTCGCATTCAGAAGACTTCCCATCCAGGTGAAGTCGTAGCTCCCTTGGAGTGCCGCCGTTCACGATGTGGAAGGCGTCGGTCTTTCCTTCGGGAGAACGGTAGCGCTCCCATGTCATCGGCTCAAAAACGTCCTTGCCAAGCTCGGCTGCTTGTTGGGTACTCTCCGTGTCGCCGATTTCGAAGAGTACGACCGGGTTACGCTGGACCTGTGGATGGACGTGCTCAGCAAGGTAGTTCCCGGCGGCAGATATGAGGGTCGCCATCATCACGCTGATCCGGGCAGCATTGTTGAAGATACTCCTCCGCACGCTCGCCTTCGGCTTGTTGCCGAGCTTGACCTCCCCAGTAGGACGGCCGGTCCCTTTGGGCAACGGAAACCCGCATCTTCGCAGGAACTTCTTCATCTCGTCGCCGGCCTTGTAGAGGTTGCGGGTGGTGTGGTAGGTGACGGCCCATCTGTTCCCATTCCATGCCTCCGTGCCGTGCTTGAGGAAGGGATCAAACTCAACAAACTTGTTCTTGGTGTCGTGAATTCTCCCGGGCACCTCCTCCTCCATTTGACGCCGTAGGTGTCGCTCTCGGTCACGGACTTGTCTTCGATCCACAAACCGCCCCCTTTTGTTTGTCCAAGCGAGGCGGTGAAGTTCGCCGTGCCCTTGAGGTTGTTGAAGTCGTGGTGCACCTCGGTCCCGGTGTTACGCGACAAACTCACTGAAGTCCAGGTGGCCTTGTCACCGAGGTAGTGCCGGGCGAAACCGTTCAAGTAGCGGGCGACGTTGTCGTGCTCCCGGGTCTTGGTCGTAGTTCCAACAACACCACCATGAGTGAACATCCCGTAGGTGAAGTAGTTGACTTTGTCGCCGGTCTTTCCACCAAAGACGCCGTCTCTTGTCGCCTTAACGGGGTCGTAGTCGAGGGTGTCCAAGAGCTTGCCGAGGGTGTTGAAGTCGAAGTCCTTGTTGAGGAGGGCCGCCGTGAACTCGTCGCGGTCCTGCTTGGCTGCGGTCTGGCAGGCAAAGTTCACCGTGTTATTGACAATGCCGCGCTCGAACTCCTCGTTGGACACGAAGATCCCGTGCAGGCCGGCGTGGTAGTCGGTCCCGCAACATCCATTCCTGTGCTCGGTGGTCTTACCGCCAAAATGGTCGCCACCGTGCTCATATTGCCCCTGTCGACCTTCACGAAGATCGTCACGATCTCGCCGAGGTCGAAAAACGTGCCCTCTCCCATCAGGTAGTAGAGTCGGTCGTGCCCTTGGCATTCTCCTCCATGTAGCTGTTGTCGCCGACCTTCTCGCTCGTAGTGCTTTGTCGTGTGCTCGCTTACGGCTTGCTCCTTGGCAGGGGCGAGCTCCCCACCGAAAGAGCGGCTCCCGTCGCTCACTTCCCGGCCTTGGGCGGTGCGGAGCTCGCCTTCGCTTTCTGCTTCAGCACAGCCAATCTGGTCTCCAGGGCACGGATCTCCTCGAGGGTCGCGGGGTCTGCTTCGGCCTCCATGTCCGGAGAGTCGCCATGGGTGTTCCCGCGCTTCGTGGTCCTCGGGTCGTATGGTAGATCTCTGCTCGCCGGGATCGTCGGGTCGCGGTTCTCCACATGTGGGCGGCCCTCGGTCACCACGTCCTAGCCCGTTCCCGAAGACGCCGCTACGCTGCTGGTGTCCAAAGGGTACGGTACCGTCGCGTTCTCCTCGATCGTGCCCCGGTCGCCGTAGTGGGTCTCGTACTCCTTTGCCTCCCACCACTGGGCGAAGCGAACAAGTTCCACATGTGGGTTCGGACTCATTCGGATCTCGCGCGCTGCCCACATGCCGTAGGACCTCGGCACCTCCTGGTACTCGTAGCCCTTGAACTTGCCGATCTTCATGAGCTCCGTGCCGGGCGTCTTCGTGTGGTCCCTGATGAGCCGCATGAGGTTGCCTTTCGTCACCTGACTGGGGTACAAGACTCCCAGTTGGTCGGCTTTCTCCTTGAGCTCCGGCAGCGTGAGGCTGGTGATCGACTTCATCACCGTGGCCTGCTGTTGGTTCGGGTCGTTCATGCGGTGCTCCATGATCGTCGCCTTGATTTCTTCGCAAGTCCAATTGCGATGGACCACCAAGCCCACCCGGTTGCACTCGCTGAGAAGCTCGGCTTTGGTCATCTTCGAAATCGCCGGCGGCTTGCTGCATGCCATTTCCGAACGAAGGCGACGAGGGAAGGGGCGTCGAGCTAGATCGCACTTTCGCGAAAGAAGTTCTGCCAACCCAGAGCAGCGGAAAAGAACTTTCATCACGATTGCACTTCCACTGATCGACTGCGGTCTCAAGCGGCTTTCCTGATCTACAACAGAAGCCCTCGGTGACACGAAGATCCCCGATCGACTGCAGGAGCATGCCCTTCTGCACGGTATACTGGGTTTTCCATGTTGAGGGATTACACAAGGCTCTTCGAGGCACAACATGTATACGAAACCAATTGTGCTCCCCTTCAAACCAGAAGTCCGAATTGATCTTGGTCTTCTCCCACCATGTCATAAAGGACACACTGCAGAGTTGATCATGTGTGAGGAGCTCCTTGACTTCGGGGCTGAGTTTCTTATCGTAGAAAATCCTGTATGGAGGGGCCTTGGTAACCGTAGTAGTCGAAGTCGTTGAAGTAGTACTCTTGGTTATGGCCTTGGGTTCAGTTGGGGTTTCCTCGGGGTCCGACATTGTGAACTCGTTCGGGGAGAACCTGACAGCATCTACCCGCGACAATGCAAAAGCCATGTATTGCGAGCTGCCCGAGGTGCAAGTCTCTCCGACAACGAGCTTCTCGGCTCCATGCTCCGGCTTCGCCGGGATAATCGGGATAGCAGGGTGACCCGAAGAGGTGGTCACCAAATCAAAGTTCCGGAGGCCCACCTTTGTGAAGTCGGCCCGGTTCTCAGCAACATCGTACACCATCCCCAACTGTGCTAAGGCTGGCTTCGACATCAAAAGAGGAACGTCGCCGTTGATGATGGAGGTCTTCATCTCAACGGTCCTGTTCCCAAGGCGAAAACGAATGAGCACATGGAACGAAGAGTGGTGCACCTTTCCAGTCCCAAATCTGAAGGCTTCGGACTCTCGAATCAACTCGGGACTCTGGCCAATGAGCTTCAAGGCGTCGCTATACTGCTGGAGCCACATGGTCCCGGCCACGGCCTTAGCACACGCTGTGTCAGTGATGCCCAAGAGCGCGGCGCCGTCGTGCTTCAAAGAGAAAACCTCGGCGGGAACATGGTGGCACATCTCGACCTCCTTCGGCGCAGTCTTGGCGGCGCCCTGCGCCGATGTAGCATAGTTGGGGCACACCGGATCCCGGTGCCAATGGCCCTTCTTCCCGCAGCTCCCGCAAAACGACCTGGCCTTCATCAACTTCACCTTCTCGTCGCGACTGAGCTCGCTCTTGCGGTTGTTTCCATCCTTCGCGGCAGGCGGCCCTCGGTCGCCTTGGTAGCCCCTCGCTTTGGTCTGCTCCTTGTACTTCTCCTTGGCGCTCTGGTGGGTCGCGTAGGCCACCGCAACGTCCTCAGGGACCCCGTCTTCGAGCTCGATGTCCTCGGCCTGGCCGAAGTCCTCATCACCAGAATCGCCATCGCCGCCCGCAGTGAAGTGGGCGGTATGGGGCTTGCGTGCCCTGCCGTTCTCCCAGGGTTTCCGGTGCCCTCGGTCATGTAGCACCGCCGCCTGCTGTAGACGATGTAGGTTGTACTCGTTCCCGACGCTCGCCAGCAAGTTGAGCTCCTGAGCTTCTTCAAGCTGCAAACGGTCTATGTACAACCAAGCTGCACATTCTTGGGGGATGCTGCAGCCAACCTCTCGTAGTCTAGCATGTAGGCGGTCATATTCGGTGTTATACTCCCTGATAGATTGCCCCGCTCTTCTCTTTAGGCGCCGAAAGAAGTCCGAGAACGCCTTGCCGATGCGGGCCACCTCCAGGTCGAGGAACCTCGCGTTGATCCACGCGACGAAGTAGCTCACCCCATCGCTTGATCCCAAGCGAGGGACCGAAAGTTCTTCGGCAGCAATCCACACTTTGCCGCCCAGGTTCTGGTAGAGGACGAGTCCCTGCTGGGAGGCAGGGGGAAGTGTCATGCGCCTCCACGCCTCGATTTGGCGAAGATAACTCCTTGCAGACCCACCAACATCTTCAGTATCCTCGCCGGTAAAGGTAGGAATCGCCAACTTCTCCGAAGCTCTTCCTCCACCTGAGTAGCCTCCAGGATCACCCCGCTGACCTTGGAAGCCGCCATTGTCGTAGTGGGACCAACCGTTCCAAGCGAGTCCTTTTTCCTCAAAGACTCGCCCCTCGCCCCATGCTCCGGATCCTCGGTCAACATAATCGCTCCCTTGAAAACGGCCAGCTCGACCATCCGCCCAGGTATCTCCTTGAGCTCCCGGCCATCCGTGGTCGCGTGCTTGCCAATCATCGTCTCGCGCTCCTGTCCAAGGGTCACGACCGTGTGACCAAGGGTCCTCGCTGGAGTTGCTCCAGCGGTCGGCGGCTGCACCGGTCGTAGCAGTCGTCGCATCCCAGCTAGTGCGCCGCCCCCAGCCGATGTTAGCATCAGTGTCCCATCGCTGACCGTATTGCGCTCGGTCGCTTCCCCACGACTGAGACTCACGATCTCCCCAGCGACTCCAAGAGGAGTCGTTCCACTGATCGTCACCGACAGGAAGCTCTATGACATCGCCTCCCGCATCATCAAACTCATCATCGCCTCTCACAGCGCCATCGCCGTCAGGGGTGGTAGTAGCAGTCGTAGTCGGGCCGTCATTCGGTCCGTGGCTAGCATGGTTCGGCATGGCACGAAGGATCTAACTAGCTCCGCTACCAATGTGAGACTGAATGTACGGGAGGCTCCGACTAGGGGCACAAAAGCACTCCCGACCCTGCCTGCGCACCGGCGGTGCGTTCCTTTTGGCTTGACGCGCAGATGCCTTCGGAAACCTGCATCGAGAGAGGGGTTCGGGACCAGCACTCTACACACAGGGCTCAGCGAGACAGATCATACGATAAAGTATTCATGAGGAAAGATGCCATCAAGCATAACGGTACCATCAAGTTTCACAATTACCGCCAAGCCCTCGGCATTGGAGGGGGGTGCGAGAAATCCTGTAGGAATCCCTAAACCCAACACCCAAGGGCTTGAGCTAGGCTACCCTTTGTGTTTTCACTTGTACAGTTCGCGCTTTTACCACTGCGCACCGCAGCCCTTTGTGGTTCCAAAAAGAGGCGCACCTGCTTTGAGCCCGGTAGGTGCCCGTAGGTAGGAACCCGGCCGATTTAGGCTTCGCAAAAACAAGAGGATCGAGTTTGCTTGCAAGGGTTTTGCGAGGGTTCAGTGCAACTGACCGTGCTGCGGATTGGCATAATCAACTTCTATTACAAGACGCTTGGTGAGAAAGCATTTATATCGTAGCATCGATACCCCAAACTCACGCATTTGAAGTCTGATTTGATATTAATCAAAATTTAACCGAAGGCTTGTGTCATTGCTGACTTCTTGCGTTGGGTGATATTTTAGTTCATGGCATGGCAGGCCTTAGTGACAGCAGTTTGGAACTGTAGCGCCGACACGAGAAGAACATGAACAATGCCAAGCGCTGTAAGACGTTATGGCTGCGAGAGTTGACGTGCTCGCCCAATTGTTACATGGAGTGGAATGCTGGTGATCTTGTCTTGGTTGTGTTGGCTTGAGTTTGGGCCCCCTGTGCCGGCCACAAACCGTGGGCAAGACCCGAAGCTCTAAACCAACGCCCTGTAGACGATGTAGCAAAAGTAGATTGCGTGTGGCCAAACGCAATTGAGTTTCGCGTTTGGCAAAGTTTGGCAAGGGAAAGCATTTCTGGCACAGTGAACATGAAACGGTTGTGTTTTCTGTGCTGTAGTCGAAATTGAAATTCAGCTGAAACTTCAATAGCAGCATCAGAAACAGCAAAAATGTCAGAGAATGCAGAAAAAACTGCAAACGCTCGAATTTACCCTTCTCTGACTATTTTTGTCACTTGGAGGGCTTTGGACCATATTTGGACCCTCCTCGGTTCTCCTCGGTTCTTCCTCGGTTCTCCTCGGTTCTTCCTCGGTTCTCCTCGGTTCTTCCTCGGTTCTCCTCGGTTCTCCTCGCTTCTCCTCGGTTCTCCTCTGTTCGTCTTGGTTGTTTTGTGTTGTGGTCCTGTTTTCAAGCGGTCTTGATGTGTTTTTTGTGTTGTTGCTAGGTTTTTGCATGGATTTGGGGTTTTGTTGTGAACGCTGGTGATTTTGCAACTTGTTGTAGCTTTTTGCCCGTTTCACGTTCACTGTGCCATAGTTGCTTCTTGCCGAGATTTTCAGCATTTTGAAAATAGCGTTTGCGTTTGCTGTTGTTGGGCTCTAAAGTTGGGCCTTGGGCCGCCCGCTGAGACGCTTTGGACTCGCAAACTCTGGCCCGTTCGCTTGCTGAAGCGCGACAACAAAAAACATCTTCTTCACTAGCGTTCACTTGCTGAAACGCGGCAAGACAAGACGATACAAAAAGAAAAATGTTTACTCCCACGCAACTGCAGCTGTTGCTCGTGATGCTCTCTTAAACCTGAAACCCTGGGCCCTAAACCCTTAAGCCCTAAGCCTTAAACCCTCACTGGCAACAGGGCGCCGACGAGTGGGGCAGGGTGGGGTGGGGCTGCGTTGAGGATTACATTACGACCTTCGGTCAAAATGACTTAATTTATAATATATTGGTTTCCATGTGATTGAGATTCCTTCTATAACCATCCACTCAAGAGTCGAAGTACAGACCGTAAGGTGGGCACATCGTACATGGGGTGCGACAGGGTTCAATATCGATAAATTCACATTCAGACTGATATCGTGCGAACCTTGGCAAACAGCAGCCTTGTCATGCTTTGTGTACCGTGTGTATTTGCTACCCTGACAGCCCAGAATCGTGCTTGCGGAATGCCATTGCGGCTATGTGCCGAACAGCACCTGTTATGTGGTTCATTGACTCTCAAATGAAAGCGCTAAGTCTCTTGCTCATGGCTTGTGGCTACTTGCACATACACATCACCGAGTAACCTTAAACCCTAAACCCTGAACCGTTGAATCATTGAACCTGTTGAAGGACGAACGCTCAGTTTTCTAGCCAGCCAGTCTTTCGCTGTCTCTTTGACCAGCCTGAGCTTTGCGCCATGCCGTTTGCTCACGAGTCTGGCAAATGCCGTGGCTCTGGAAGAGTTTGTACCTCAGATCCAGACCTGGCGCTGCAGGGTTTTTTAGGGTTTGGGTGCGGCATGTTTTCTCAGGAGTCGCATTCGGTGATTGTGCTGTGCAGGTTGGCGGATTTAACCGCTTTCGGCTAAATTCTTACCTTTTGATACGCCCGAGCACTTCTTTGTATTCCCAGGAGTGGGTCCGAGCTCTACGAGAAGCATTTTTGGAATTTTTCGGTTGAACCTTTTTCAGAGCAGGCCAAACGCAAGATGGGTCACGGCTAGTGCAATCTTCGGGTCTCGAGTCTCGAATCTTCGAGATGCTTGCCCAAAAGGCGCGACGCGACAGAGGCCGGCGCTCCGGACTGGCTTCTCGGCTTTAGATCGCCTTAGGAAGGCGTCTTTTTCAAAACTCCGAGTTGGCTTTAAAGTGGGCGGGCTTCTGCAAAGCTGCCAATCTCAGGAGTCCTTGGAGCCGAGGTGCCTGAAGTGCAAGGCCAGGTGTCGAAGTGGTCGTGATGTGGCGACTTCTCGCTTTTTGTGCGATGCGTTGCAGGAGAAACTGGGCTCCATGTCCGACCCTGCAAGTGGCCGGCTTAGCATCCTCGCATCATGTCGCATCCTGCCGGACCAGGTGCTGATTAGTGATTAGTGCTGGTCTTCTGTTTCAGGTACGCTGCAGCCTGTCTTGGACATGTTGGCAGACATGACGAAGAAGATGCAGGCGTGGTGTGTCAAGTCAGGCTTCATCACCTGAGTGCCTGCGCGCACAGGACTTCGAGCGCCGTCTGTTTGACAAGGCGAGGCGGAGGAAAGTGGCGTGTGGCGTGCGCGTTGCCTCCAAGCGCAGCAGGTGGATGAGTTGGCTTGCCATATCGAGGACTGCACTGTAGCTCCGGCAGCGACTTTTCTTGGCCACATGATGCCGAAGTCGCAGGCCAGGCCAGACAAGGTGGGCGCAGACAGTTCGGCCATGTCGAAGTGCCTGCTGTCTGAGGCACACCGCCGATGGAGCGTCTGAAGATGTTTGCAGTCTGAAGTCAGCTCCTGACCAGGTCAAGGTTCGCACGTATCGCATGGATGCAGACGACTCCGAGGATGAGGCTGACGACATGTCCACTTTGGCGCTCTTGTGGCAGACCACGGCACATGCTGCAGAGCAGGTCCCACAAGCCTGCAACTCCAGCCTGGGCCCCTCGTAGGGCCGTAGGGGTTCGCGCGCTCAATGGCCGGTTGCCCAGGTGATCCCGGCGATGTCAGTAAGGCCACCGATCGCGGTCTAGCCCCGTTGGGGCAGTTCCTGAAGGAACGTTCTGACAGAGGGCTTGAAAATTCTATCATGTCCCAGATTATCAGCTGACCGCAGGCGCAGGCGTTGGCTTCCTCGCTTCAAGACCAGTTCAGCTCGAGCTGCGGCGAGGCCACGACGTCACTTGGGGGGCCTGAGCAGGTGCAACGATAGAGATGTTTTGCACGCCAGCAGTGCAAAAAGCCCGTCTTGGTCACACCTGTTAATGAGCCGTATAGGGCCATAGGGCCGATCGCAATAGCTTCTTTAGCAGGAGTCGTAGCAATACGTTGTCTGGCGCATCAAGTCTAGAAAATACTGAGCTGAGGGTTTGGGGCTTAGGGTTTGATGACGGTCCCACTTCGACAAGTTGCTGTACCCCGAAGGCTGCTTGCCACCAGTCGCAGTGCTGCGACCTCCACTCACTCCCGACCCTCTTCAGAACTTTGTGCCGTCTCTGCCTCGCTTCTGCTGCCCTCCCCCCTCAGCACTTTGTGCAGGCACTGGAATCGCATTTGCGCGTTTCGGGGCATTCTGGCGCTTTCATGAAAGGTGAAAAGCACGGTGGCGGTTTTTTTGGGTGGCGGGATTGGTAGCAGTCCGGTCCTGGTGTTGGTCAAGCTACCGGTTTGTGAAAATGGCTTCTTGGTGCACAGACTTTTCACAGAGACTTCTCCGATTGCTCACGGTCGCTGGCTAGATGTCTCGCAGATGATTTGAGACCTGCATGAAACAGCTTTTCCCGTACACTTTTCATTCACCATTCAGCAACCAATATGTCATACAATCGCTTAGAAGGAACGGTTAATGAACCTACAGCTTGAAGGCCTGCTTTTGAACACACATCTTGTTTAGCCATGACTCGTGTAAACCTCCCCGCCTGCCAGGGCATTGAAGCTGCCCATGGCCCTTCGCGAAATTCTCAGAGAGGTCACATTGGGTCGAAGGTTCAGAAGTGTTCAGTGTGGGTCCAGGGGTTTCGTGATGTTTCGCGCAGGCTCTCACAGAAGGAAGGAGCTCCTTGTCAGCTTGAAGAACGGCTGGAGATGGGAGGCCAGGTCTTTCGGTGTCCAGGTCTGTCTCACTGTCCACTGAGCAAGATCATTCAGGGAGCATGCCACGGTATTGAAGACGGCCGCGTGATACTCGGGCCAGAGCCCAAATCATGTGGCACCGGGTGGAGACTACTTGCCAGATGATCAGGCCAGCGTTCTGTTTGGGTCCAGAAGGCCTGAACCCGAGTGGGCGCTGGCGTCGGTATGTGCCCCATGCTGTTCGCACGCAAACCCTATTGAACTCAACAGGCCTCCGGATGGAAGGTTGAGGA